CACACACACACACACACACACACACACACACACACACACAGAGAAAGAGAAGCAAGTGGCTGGGCAGATCTTCTGATCATGAGGGATAGCTAGTAATTGCTGCTTGTTGATCATGGTCATGTGCCATTCGTTGTATTATACTTTGAATACACTACTTCACATAATCTACTCTTGACCCTGTGAAGAATGCATGACTGTTCCTATTTTCCAGCTAGGAATAGCTGAGGATAACAGAGGTTCGGTAATTTTTTTAAAGTTAGAGACTTATTAAGTGCCAAGGCTAGAGCTTTAACATTAGTCTCCTGATTCCAAAGCACCTGCTTCCAGCCACTCTGCCACACTCTGCCATATCCTCCTCCACTTCTCTTCCTGATGGGAATCTCTCAGTGCAGCCACTAGAGGCCTGCTGAGGCCACCATGACTTCTGATTCTCGCTTTTCAGTCTGGGCAAGGAAAATGCTAATCAACCCATTTCCTTCCAGCCCACATCAAGGGATGTGATGTCAGGAGTATGGCCAATGCAGAATCCACCTGTGTATATTCCAGGTCCTTAGGTATACCACAGCTTTTTAGAGGTTCTGATAACACATTAGCAGATTCGGGTCTTATCATTGCTGTGGCTTCTGCATAAGGGACATGCAAATAACGTTGCTTTCTCAAGGAGCAACAGTGACCTGAAGTGGTTGATTAAGTTAATTCCCAGGTGAGGGTGTAAGTGTGTGTATTTATCTGTGAGCACTTTCAGTCACACCTATCTGTGAGTCAGACTGATCAGGAACAGAGATATAACAATACATGGAGGAACTATTGTGCTGGAAACTTTGTGAAGATGACAAAAGGAGCTCTTACAAAGGAGATCACCTGTCCTCTGAAGTTGAGTGTTGAGTGTATACAGTGTGTTGCTCTTTTATGCCAGAATTTTTGTCTGATACATGGTAGTTTCTGAAGTGAAGTTAGAAAGTCTTTTCACTCAGAATACAGTTTAGCCTCTTACTACACGCAGTGTGGTACCTAGAGCAGCAATATTAGAATCACCAGGGAGCTTGTTAGAAATAAATCTGAGGATCTACTTCAGACTGACTCAATCAGAATATGCATTTTAAAAAGACCTGGGCTTTCAGCACTAGGTGGATACCATAAGTTCTGGAAATTGGAAAAAGCACATGTCCTTTCAGTGGACTTCCCTCAGGCTCTTCCTCACAACAGGTAGAAAAGAGAGAGAGGGAAGGAGAGGTGGAGGGGATATGCATATTTCCTCCATTTCTCCTTTTATACTTTTGGCTAAGACTTTTGAAAATCTCTGGGTTCTCACCTGCACTGTTCCCTCTGCCCAGCATATCCTCCTCCACTTCTCTACCTGATGAACCCACTCAAAGTCTTCCTTTGCTGTTATTCTTCATGTCTGCAGGCAGTGTTGGTGGCTCTCTCAGGTCAGTATTCCAACCCTAGTATAATATTCGTATTTGTTTTTACAACTGTAAGACCTAATATAATAAATAGATATATTCTAGGTTCTCAATAAATATTTGTTGAGTGAATGTATAAATGGACAAGTAATTGAATGGTAAAAGATAGTGAAAAAAAGGTTCCTATTAAATGTTTTCATGTTTCAAGTCCCCGAATTCCAGTGTAATTTCCAGTTCCTCAAACATGTGCTGATAAGAATTGATATTTGGATTTTGTGAAAAAATGCTAACAGCTATTATATACATTTGAATTTAAATCACATGAAATAGAGAAACCTCAGGTTGTTTTGAATTTGGGGTGTAACCTGGCCATATTTGGTAGAAAAACCTGTTGGCTGCATGGGGAATGGAAGAAATTCATGAAAATAGATGAAGTGGGGACTGTTGAATTTAAAGTGAGAGAGACCAGGAAAGAAGATGTAGAAGATTAAGATATCCACAATGGAAAATGGAGACACTGGGCTTAGGTGTTCAGACCTAGGGACCAGGCATTATTGTACCTGCCATTCTGGAGACACAAGATTTAGGAGAAGAAAGTCCGGAGATAAAAGTAAGGGGTGGGACATAGAAGTAAAATAGTCTACACACTTTTAGGAGTTAGCAGGTGGCTCATTTTCTCAGAGAGGCTCTGTTTTGCATGGGAGAAGAGCTTTGTAGGAGACTTTTTTTTCTGAGTCAGAGAAGAATGGAAGGCCAAAGCCACTATGTCTTGTCGGATGGTCCTGCTGATGCTATTTCTTATCGTGTAGAAAGGGCGTGTACATGACATCAGAAGACCTGGTATTAGAGAGTGCACAATAGCTCTGATGGGCTATAGATTTACCAGGTCTGAAGTTCACTTGCTCCCTATTTAGCATATTGGCTTGGGAAACCAGGCCTGCAATTTGTTAGAGGAAAACTGGCATGAGGTTTGGACATGCTCTGATGGTTCTATCTGGGGCTAAGTAGAGAACCATGTCTTTTAAAATGATCTAGATCACTACTTCTCAGTCTTTGATATTCATAGGAATTATTTTGGGGTCTTTTTAAAATGCATATTCTGATTGAGTCAGTCTGAAGTAGATCCTGAGATTTATTTCTAACAAGCTCCCTGGTGATTCTAATATTGCTGCTCTAGGTAACACTGTGTGTAGTAAGAGGCTAAACTGTATTCCGAGTGAAAAGACTTTCTAACTTCACTTCAGAAACTGACCATGTATCAGACAAAACACAACCAATTAATGCTTTAGTTTTCTAATTCATATAATGGAAATCATGCAATTGTCTCTTTCCCTTACATGTCCTTTTTAGGGATATTCTAAATGATGGAATTTGGGGCTCCTCAGTACAAATGCAGTAAGTGAGGAGAGGTAATTTATCTGTAGCTCCATTGGTAGGAACACGAGTGCTTCCATATTATAATATAGGCATTGGCATGAGACTCATAATAGTGCAAATCCCTGCTCTGCCCTCAACCGGTTAGATAACCCCAGGTGAGTTATTTTATGTTTCTAAATCTTACCTCATCTATATAATAAACATTTATACATTCATTGAACTAGTATTTATTGATGGCAATTATGTACCAAGCATTGTGCTGTGCAATGGGAATATCATAGCAAGTAATGCATTGCCTTCACCAAGCTCATATTCTATGGTGGGAGCTGATCATAAGCAAGTAAAACAAATATGCAAAATACTTCAGGATATGCATCCTATGAAAGAAAAAAGATGCTTTGATTAAAAAAGAAAAAGAGGGGCAAAATAAGGATGCACTGGGATGGTGAGAATTATGCTTAGGAAGAAAGAAGGAGCCAGTCAGGAGAAGATAAAAAAAGAAAAGCATTGTAACTGTAGAGAATGGCACCAACTCTTGTGCCTGGAAAGGTCATGGGTTATGCTTGGGATTCTAAGTTCAGTGTGGGTGAAGCACACTAAGGAAGTTGAACATGGCATTGAATGAGGTTGGAGAAAATGGGGTCAGAACACACAAGACCTCATGGGCTAAAGAAATAAGTTTAGATACGATTTTTCATCCAAACAGAAACAACAAAAATGTTCTACACAGGGAAATTTATTTTATGAAAGTTCCCTCTGACTGGTGTTTGCTGACTGGATGGGAAGGGACCCAGAGGAGAAGTGGGGTGTCCAGCTAGGAAGTGAGCAATGGTTGCTTGTGCTAATGTTTGTGGCTGTGAAGATGCTGACGTAAGAGACATTTTTCAGAAATACCTGGGAGGTGAAACAGGACTTGTTGACAGGTTAGAAGAAAGCAGATGGGGTGAGTAAAAAGATGAGATTGAGAGGAAGTGTAGAATCAGTGATGGTGTCTAAGTTCCAATCTTGAGAAACAGGGCAGATGATGGTATCGTTCACCAAGCTGTTGGTGGTTGAGGAGGCTAATATGTGGAGCGAGAGAATCAAGAACTCTGACAATAACAGTTCCTATCACACAGTGGGTTTGAGGACAAAAGAATATAGATGTATATTTTTCTATACAATAATTAGCACTTAAGTGGTCTACATGTTATTGTTTTCTGTTATTGCTGTTATTGAGGGAGTACCCATTGGAGACACCAGATGCCCTTGATTGGCAAAGACATGATAATTCTCTAGGACTCAACCAATCATACTTTTTCAATGTTACTCTTGAAAACCCTACAGTGGTGATAGAAGAATGGGGTAGACTATGTTTGTCTCAAGCAACATCAATCAAACTTTCAGCCAAGTTTTGATTACAAGATCTTTATTTCTGTCAATGACCTAAGAAGCAGAAAGAGCACAGCTGGGTTTTCAGCACTAGGTGGATACCATAAGTTCTGGAAATTGGAAAAAGCACCTTCTAACTTGGAAATTGTGTTGATTTGTCTGGAGAAGTTAGAGGGAAAATAAATACAAACCTTCCCCTAACCCCAACTCCTTGGGATACCATTTACAGAGTAAGAAAGAAATCACAGAGCAAGAACGCCCAACTAACAACCCTAGCCAAAAGGCTTGATGCTTAGCAAAGACCAAATGGGACGGTCATAGGGCTTGAGGTGGTTGATCTTTGCTCTCTGGTTTCTATACCTTACCAGCATGTGAAGGTAGCAAGGATCTTAGTAGTTTGCCAACCTGGCTGCACCTAAAAACTTCTGGCAAGTTTAAAGACACAGAGTCCTGGGCCAGTCTCAGGAGGTTTAATTCAGTAAGCCTAGCAATCTAGATTTTTTAAGTGGCTTCTACATAATTCTGATGGGATTGGTCTACATATGTAATTTGGAAATCATTATGTTATGTTATGGAAATCAGAATGTTATGATTTGAAAACTTTGAAATCTATGAATTTCTGTGTGACACTGGGTAAATCACTTCATGGTTACTAATGTGATTTCCTGCCTACAAATGAGATATTTTAGCTGATAGACAGCCAGCATAATGTTTTACATGGAAGGTACATGGCATGGGCTATCAAAGATGTCTTGGAATCTCTGTCCTAGTTAGGTTCTGTCTGTTTGTCTAGTATCCAATGCC